AAAAGAAAAAGAAAATAAATTTTCTATTGGTTAAGGTACCCAGTCTGCGATATTTTGTCTGGAAGCCCTAGCAAACTAATATAAAGAGTAATTCTAAAAGTTTTATCAAACGGTTGCCTATAGGATGGAGGAGGGAGCAAGGTGGGAAAAAATACTGATGAAAACTAAATTTCCCTGAATATGCTTCATGTTATAACTTTAAAACCAGGTCAATATTCAAGCAAGGTACAGTGGCACATATCTATTGTCCCAGCTACTCAAGAGGCTGAGGTAGAAGGATAGCTTAAGCCTAGAAGTTTGAGACCAGCCTGAGCAACATAGAGAGATCCTGTGTCTTAAGGAAAAAAAAGTCAGTATTATTTATTTGTTAAATAAATGAAGGAAATAAAAAATGAAATACACTAGATGATGCTAACTAAAGGCTATAGTTTAAATGTGCTCCCCAAAGTTTGCCTTGAAAACCTAATTGCCATTGCAAATACTGTGAAGAGGTGGGGTCTTTAAGAAGTAAGTAGTCCATGAGGGCTCTACCTTCATGAATGAATTAATGCTGTTATTGTGAGAATGGGGTTCCTGATAATTTTGGCCCCCTTCTTCCCTTCCATCCTTGGGCTAACTTCCACCTTCAACCCTTACATCATGGAATGACTGTTACCAGATGCTGATGTCATGCTTTTGGACTTCCCAGTCTCCAAAACTGTAAGAAATAAACATCTTTTCTTTATTAATTACTCAGTCTTAGGTATTCTGTTACAGCAACAAAAAGTGGACTAAGACACTGAATATCAAGTTGATGCTTAATCACCAGAGAATAATTATCTCAAATTAATTTAAAATTTGGTAATTTGTGTAGATGGTGGAATATATACCCTAAGGGCCCAAAAACAAAGCTCACAAGTGTAATTTTGAACTGTTTTCAGTTATTACATTGTTAGTAATAAAACAGGAATTGATATTCTAAAATAACAATAGAAAGATTGAGATATACATACACACGGTGATGATAAAGCAAATAAATAATTACACTGATGTGACTGATATTCACCATAGAGACACATGTTAAATTGAAAAATGTCCTAGAAACAATAAACAACCCCAGGATCGATGAATGGTATTCTCAGTGAACACTATTTATTATGCTATTCTCTTTACTTTTGCACAGACTTGAAATCTTCCATAATAAAAACTATATAGTTGGATGGATGAACAGACAGGTAGGTAGATAGACAGACTGACTGACTGTCTGACTGACAGACAGATAGATAGATACATACATACATACATAGACAGACAGATATTCTCCTTACATTGTTCCTACATGATTTACTAGCATGGGTTTTACTCTCAGTAACCCAACTGTGCATTCAACTCCTGCTCAAATTTTGAACAAGGGACCTGTTCACAGTTGAAGCGAGGGCTTCTGACTTCTCTTTTTATTTCTGGAACACCAGCTAGGTATTGGCTATAGACTAGGATTAAATGACCTCAAGAAATTTCTCATTCTTCCAGGGACTATTTTTCATGTTTCCAGATTTTACGCAAAAAGTTTGCTTGATTAATGCAGGAGAATTTGCCTATCTGGGCTTAAAAAGATAGTATACCTTTCTAAAATGAGCTCCCAAGTATGAAAGGGAATGAAAGACATAAAGAACATTTAATAAGGGCCTAGAATCTAGTAGTTCAGTTTTTAAAATCTTTACAACTGTTATTCTTATAGATTAAAAAAAAGGTAAGGTGTAGTAACTTGCCTGGTAGAGGAGAAATACAAACCCAAGGTTACCTGTCTCCAAAGCCCATACCTACCTAGAGTGGCAATGCCTTCTCTGGAGTTAAATGGGAGAGTTCACCCCCATATCTACTCGAAATGCACAAACCTAGATTGTGGGTCCAGGTTTGAGGGTGTACTGGCCAAGACAAGGGACACAGATCCCTCCCCAGCTCCATGGTCCCTGTAAGGATTCTGTTTTGTTTGTACATCTTCATATTCATATATCCAAACTGGATCTCATTTGCCACTTGCCCCTCTTTTGCCCAGAGTTTTATGACAGCAAGATGATGGAGCTCTCTCCAAGGAGGTGAGTCAGTTCTCTTCATAGAAAGACAATCTCCTTCCTTTGATACATATCAGGGAAGGTCTGATTTTTAATTTATTGTGGATGGTTACAGCCTTAAAGTTAAAAAGAGAGGACTGGATCACTCATTGAAAACAGAAGTTAAATCTTCTTGTTCTATTTGTAAAACTCAAAATTTAAAGAACTTCAGGTAATAGAGAAACTGGACTAAAACTAGACAATGAGGGTTCCTAAGATCTGGCCAGTTCTGGAGAATGGACTCCATGATCCCACTAAGCTGTCACCCTGTTGTAACGAATCAGTCCTGGGATTTTCCTTCATACATTGATAATATTTTCACATACAGTGCTAGAGTGTGCAGGATTTCGTCTCTGAGTGGCAGAATCAGGCAGCTTTCTCAATGACCCCTAATCTTCATCGTACTGCAGATGATCTAGCTTTGTATCTGCACATCTTTGCTCTTCCTTTTATCCTTTCTTCTCTCTCTTCCACCATTATCACACCTGTCTCCCTGCCTCTCTCCACTCCTCGGGACCTACCACCAAACAACTACTTAATTCAGTGGGTATCCAAGGGCTTTCTTGCTGCTTGGAATCCCTGAGCTCACAAAGAAAGCTTCAAGCACATCCCTTGGTTTTGCACCTGGACAATAATGCCCAGCCAAATCCTGGGATTCTTGGGTTAAGCCACGCCCACTGGTCAGGGGACCAAAAGAAGACTGTTCACACAAGGTAAATGTACAAACAAATGAGTCTGACCCTATTCAAACACTTTTGGAAAGGAGTTAAAATAGAGATATGTAACAATGCCTAAGTTTCCTCTGTCTACTCCAGCTTTAAACTCTTCATGATTCTTCCAGTGTTAGCATCTACCAAAAGAATCAACCAGACCATTTCAAAGCACTCCTTTTCTTCTTGTGTCTTTTCACTAAAAGGAAAGGTAAAGAGTTGGGATTTAACCTGTAGAGGACCTTCACTGCCACCTGACCTCGAGCCCCAAGTCAGGGTCCTCTCCATGCCCCAAGGGAGACTCTGCAGGGATTGAAAGCCCTGTATTTTGCACTGGGACTCGACACTAGCCTGGTCTCTAAGCCTCAGGCTCTTCAATTATTAACAGCATTATACTGTAGATTTATCTGGAGTCTCAGGTCCCCACAGGAAGGCAATTTTAAGTTTACCCTCTCTTCAGATCCAGAGGTTAACATGGGAAGAAATTCAAAGCTGTTTCCAGGTTGCCAGGTGGATGTGATCAAGATTGTTCTACAGTCCCTTTGGGATTGGAGCTTTTGTGCTCTTCTAATGCACAGGGAAAGTCATCAATATTTCCACAGGGAGTCACCTTAGGTATTTTAGTAATTAAATTATTTCCTTCCCAAGATTAGTGTTTAGGAACTGGGTCAGTGAAGCACTATCAAATTATGGAGAGCGTTAAATTTGCAGATAGTTTCCATAATTTAAGTTAGTTCTTGCGCTCAGAGATACATGCACTGTCTTCCTTTGCCTAAAATCGACACTTCAGAGAGGTCAGCAGATCATGGAAATGTCAACTTATTCTTCGCCATAGTTTATTCACTTATCTCCATGGAAAATAAAGGGCAAGGCGGGAAATGAGCTAATAGGTGTTTCTTATCCACAGGTATTTGGTCAAGCTCCACCTGCAGGCATTTATTATTAACCCATCAATGTACTCCCCCAAGGACTGGGAATTAAGGGGCAGAAATATCCAAGCATTTCTGGGAAACTTAAAAAAAATGCACATGACTTTCTGCAGTATCTGATCTCTTCAATCGTACTCAGCCGGAGTTGAGGGTTGAGCCTCAGTTGAGTTGAGGGTGTTGTGGATAGACATGCCTTTCTCTATACATTCTCAGTTTCCCAGCTGTAAAACAATAGCTAAAATGGATATTGACATCAACCACAAATGGAAAGAGCAGTTTTACTTCTGGTTTTAACAGAAGACAATGATTTTATCCTCAGCAAATGGCACGTTCATGTGGCCAGGACAGGGGAATATAGCCATGAAGAAAAACAGAAAAAAACCCTGCCCTAGTGGAGCTTCCATTCCAGCTGAGGTAGGGTTTTTGTTTACCCTATCCAGGTGGTCCACGGCCTGCCATGCCCATGCAGAGGTCTTCCTTCTCAAAGTCCACTTAGGTGGCTGCAAGCAGCCTCTCACCTGCCTATTCCCTAAATCACTCTAAAAATAGAAAAATGTTTCCAGCTGAGAATTCACCCACCTCCACCTCACTCTGTTGTCCCCAACCTTTTCAGGCTCCAAACCTGCAGACAGCAACCCACATTATAGGCATTAATAGGTGGGTCAGGTCCTTGCCACAAATGAGATCAGGGTAAGGAGAGGGTCCCCTGCAGATGGGGAAGGGAGGAGGTTGGGTAAGAAAGGAGGAAAGTGGGACATGGAGGTGGAGTAAGCCAACTTCCCTGGCGGCGACCAACAGTCATTGGTGGCAGGACATCTTGGCCCTGGAGTCTCAAAGAGACCTCCCTTGGACTCTGTAATGAACACATGTCCCACCTTGGATTTGCCTTCCCCATCAAATAGTCATGTGCCCTCCTACCCTGCCCAACCCCAGCTTCAAGAGAGGATAACATTAATTAAGAATGCCTTTTATCCCTGGCCAAATCCATGCCTCTTTACCCCTCTCTCCCTCTCACACACACTCTCTCTCTCTCTCTCTCTCTCTCTCTCTATATATATATATATATATTACATATATTTTATCTATAAGATATATTAATATATATTATACATTTATATATCATATATATTACATATACATATATATATGTATGTATGTATTTTTGTCCCATCCCACTTCCATCTCCAGGTCCAAGGAACCATCAACTCTAAGCTAGAGCTGAGCAAACCCCTCCAGAACGTCTAGTTTCCCAAAAAGAAGCCATTGCCCACCTGGCTCCCGAGGCGCATACTTCTATCAGTCTAATCTCCGAACGCGATCCTTCCCCAAATACAAGAATAACAGAGCTGTGAATGGGGCTATGTTGCCCGCCCCACTGTGAATGCCTTCAAAACTCCCTGAATAAAGATAAGAGAGGATTGTGTACGTTTTCTACACAAATGGTGGAAAGTAATAAAATAAACATCAAAGGTGAGCTCCCACCTACTCGCGGCTCCGTCGCTTTGTGCAACAAAGGCAGGAAAAAGGAGGAAACTCGGCGTGGCAGGGCAGCGGGCTGGAAGTACACCTTTCCGGGGCCGGGGCGCCCGCTCTCTGGACTGATGACGCCGCCTGGAGATCACGCCCCAGGCGCCCTGGGGTGGGGAACGGCCCCCCCTTTCGAGACCGCCGGACACCGGTGCCAGTGAGGTCACAGCAAAAGTAGCAAAGGTCCCAAAGGAAGAATGGAAACACGTGGCCGTGAACCCGCTGTGTTCTTGCCCCCGCCCTCGGGAACACGCCCTCCCCATCGTTCCTGTTAACTGTCAGATCCTGGGAACCCAGCGGCTGAGCTCGGCGTCCTAGGCTTCCGCAGACACACAAGTGCAGGCTGAGTCCGGCACCCCGCGCCATACACAACCGCCCCAGGGTTAGAGGAGGACGCTGCTGTCCTCCCCCAGGAGCCACCAGCCAGATAAAGTAAGATAAAAGAAAAGTGAAAGTCGGAGCCCCTTTAATGAGCAAGAGTCAAGGTCATCCAAAAAGGCACATACAATTTCAAGTCCAGGAGTGTATTCATTAAAACAAGAGGAAGAGACAAAATGGTTCTTGAAAGGAGCTCACAGGAAGGGGCACGGCAAAAGGCTCGCGAAAGAGGTCACTGCAAAGTGTCCTGTGCGCTTTCTGTTCAGCACCTCTGCAGTGACAAGAGGGGTTTGCTTTCCTAATTAGCATCGTTTTCACTACTACAGAAGCACACAGGCCACGTTCAGCTTAGGCCCCAGCAAAGTCCCTGCTCCACTGGACCCGGCCCCCTCAGGTATCTCCCTAGGGGAACCGCAGCGTGTCCTCCCAGCCAGGCGCACTCGCCCAAGTCGCTTCCCCGAACTCCAGGGCGCAGAGAGCCCTCGCGGCCCTCCAGGGGCTGGGGCCCACACCTGAGCAGAGGAGCCGGCGGGCCGGGCGGCTCCGCGCGCTCACACACGCACATTCACAGACACGCGCACACCCACAACAGCGGCGCGCGCGCTCCCCATTGGCGGCAGGAGGAGGGCGGGGCCGGCAGACCCAAAACAAACAACCTGCGCTCAGCTAGTTTGCGGCCGCGCGGCAGCGTGGCCTCCGCCTGGTGTGCGCCCGCTGGAGAGCTAGGGAGCCGCCGCCACCCCGGCCACCTCGTTCCCCCACCCCTCGCCGTCCGCGCCCAGGCCCCGCCCCCGCGGAGCCGGCGCAGGGTTATATTGGGCCGGCCCGAAGGTGGAAGCGAGAGGCAGCCGCGGCTAGCCAGCGCGGAGATGCTGGCCCTGAGGTCGGGGGCGGGAAGGCGGCCGCGGGCGCAGCGGCCTCGGGAACTCGCCTCTGCAGGCGCTCAAGGCTGAAGGCGCCGGACCCTCCCCCACGGTGGCAAACACATCATCTGGCACCATTTCCTTGCCCCGAGGACGCCCGCACCGGACCTGGAACCGCCGGTGAAGAACCCCTCCTGGGCTCCTTTAAGGAGCAGCAGATGCGCATGCTGCTTCCCTCCAGCAGGAAAGCCTTCTGAGCCCGGCACGCTCGGGCCCCCGGGGGTGGTACCGCGGCCCCTGCACACACTCACCCCAAAGTCTCAACCTCGGGCCGAAGGCGACACCCATCCAACTCCTTCCTCTCCGCCCCTTAGTCCACCCAAGACTCACAGCCCCTCCAAAGAAAAAGCCCAGCGAAAGAGGACTCCGGAAAAGTGACTGTGTCTCGCAAGACAAGAAGGAGCTCGCGGGAGAGAAGGGCGAAGACCCCCAGCCCGGGATCGCCAGCACCTTCCCCGGTACCAGCTTCCCTACTAGGACGCCAGAAGGAAGAGGATACATACGACGCCAAGCAGGGACTGAGTGCGCGGGCATGAAGTTGGAAGTGTTCGCCCCCCGCACGGCCCACGGGGACAAGCCGACCAGTGACCTGGAGGGCGCGGGCGGCAGCGACGCGCCGTCCCCGCTGTCGGCGGCAGGAGATGACTCCCTGGGCTCCGATGGGGACTGCGCAGCCAACAGCCCGGCCGCGGGCGGCGGCGCCGGGGATCCGCCGGGCTGCAGCGAGCAGAGCGCCGGCGGCGGGCCGGGCGCGGAGGAGGAGAGCCGGGTAGCGGCGGCGGCGGCGGCGGCGGCGGCGGCGGCGGCGGGGGGGGGCGCAGAGGCCGGGGCGGCGGGGCCTGGCACGGGCGACGGGGGGAGCGGCGAGGGCGCGCGCAGCAAGCCGTACACGCGGCGACCCAAGCCTCCGTACTCCTACATCGCGCTCATCGCCATGGCCATCCGCGACTCGGCTGGCGGGCGCCTAACGCTGGCTGAGATCAACGAGTACCTCATGGGCAAGTTCCCCTTTTTCCGCGGCAGCTACACGGGCTGGCGCAACTCGGTGCGCCACAACCTCTCGCTCAACGACTGCTTCGTCAAGGTGCTGCGCGACCCCTCGCGGCCCTGGGGCAAGGACAACTACTGGATGCTCAACCCCAATAGCGAGTACACCTTCGCCGACGGGGTCTTCCGCCGCCGCCGCAAGCGCCTCAGCCACCGCGCGCCCGCCCCCGCGCCCGGGCTACCGCCCGAAGAGGCCTCGGGCCTCCCAGCCGCCCCGCCGCCTGCGCCCGCAGCCCCGGCGTCGCCCCCCACGCGCTCGCCCGCCCGCCAGGAGGAGCGCGCCAGCCCCGCGGGCAAGTTCTCCAGCTCCTTCGCCATCGACAGCATCCTCAGCAAGCCGTTCCGCAGCCGCCGCCTCAGGGACACGGGCCCCGGGACGCCGCTGCTGTGGGGCGCCGCGCCCTGCCCGCCGCTGCCAGCGTTCCCCGCTCTCCTCCCTGCGGCGCCCGGCGGGGCCCTGCTGCCGCTCTGCACGTTTGGCGCAGGCGAGCCGGGGCTGCTCGGCGCGCGGGGGGCCGAGGTGCCGCCGGCCGCGCCGCCCCTCCTGCTCTCACCCCTCTCGGCGGCGGCCCCGGCCAAGCCGCTCCGAGGCCCGGCGGCCAGCGGCGCGCACCTGTACTGCCCCCTGCGGCTGCCCGCCGCCCTGCAGGCTGCTTCGGCCCGCCGCCCCGGCCCGCACCTGCCCTACCCGGTGGAGACGCTCCTGGCCTAAGCCGCGCCTCTGGGCCCCGGGACGCCGAGTCTGCGCCGTCGGGGAGGCGGGAACCCGGGCCAGCAGACTTTGCACTTTCAATCCAGAGGAAAATAAATTTTTAAAATCTCCATCAAATGTGCCTTATAGCTAAAGCATTTTGACAGGAGTGTTTTAACTTAGTCCGGGATATTTTCCTTTGTCTTTTACAACTTTACGGAGGACCAAAGCAATTCTTGTTTTAGTTTCTTGGCGAAGCCTGTCCCTCCCACCCTTCATAAGGATTTTTTTTTTTTTTTTTTTTTGTCTTTCTTTAACGCCCAGGCTTCCCCTTATTCCTACTGTTTTTGTCGCACCTTCCACTGATTTACGTCCCTCCCCTGCCCGCTAAGTACATCAGGGAACCTTTCCACACTATAAATGATATGACTACTGTTTGGGGTGTCTGAGCCCCCATCCGTGTACGTATGTGGCATTTACAGGTATGACTGAGTGTAAGAGAGATATCAGAGACTCTTCAGTCATTTCTTGCTATTGACCAATGCTTCACTGTGCCAAAAGAGAAAAAAAAAATGTTGGGTTTTGTAATTAAATTATTTATATATTTTTGAAACCTGAATTGAAAAATGTTGCAGGCAACGGGCGACAGCTTTATTCGTGGTTCTCTAACTGTGGTCTCCTTGGGCCAACCAATTTCTTTAGAGGAAAAGTTGATTATGTATGTGGGGTGCCAGGACCACGGCCACTTGAAAGCAAGTGTGATTTTTATTTTTAATATTATTTTATTTGTGTCTGTGTATATATTCATGTATAAATGTTATGAAACCCAAGCATAGTGCTTATTTTTTAATAAAACTCACAACTGACAACACGTTGTGGTGATGGGTTGGAAGTGGAGAGATTTTTACGCCTGTCCCCTCTCCCCACCAAAATGGGCTCAGGTTTGGGTATCAAGAAACTTCCTTTGGAGATCAAAATATTTTCCTGAATAATTCGATAAAGGTATCATAGTATGGGCTTGCAGATTTCCTTACAAGGTATACTGCTGCACAAATTTCCACACTGGACTTCCATTCATGGGCTTTTTAAAATTTGAAAACCAATTACTCCTCTAATTCTAATTAGTCACCTAAGCACTACCAGAACAAATGAGAGCAAAGTGTCCCTCTCTCCCCCAAGAATTCTTTAGCAGGCAAGCTGAGCTCGTAACAAGCCTAGAGTCAGGCAGATATTTTCAGGTAAATAGGTTCTGATTTGGGGCTCAAAAAGTTGGAAACTTAAATTTTGTCTTAAGACTATCTTAATACACCAAAGGTGTCTTCGGGGCAATTTCAACAGTGATTTAAATGTCACAGTGTTTTTGTCAAAACAAAACCATCCACATTTTTAGGAATGCAAAAGTTCATTGGGTGAGAAGCAATGGGTAGTATTTTTTCTACTCTCCCCTCATCTGTAAAGATTTCACTGGAAACGGTGGCGGTGTCCTGCCTGTTTCGATTGCATTTCTAAAGAGAAAATGCCACCTTGAAGAGGAGGAATAGACGGTTTCCCATATTACAAATGTAAGGGAGGGTTTTCATAAGTGGGAGTCCCAGGGTGAACACCTGTTCCTCAGTAGGTTCCTAGGCAGTAAGGCTCCAACAGTGCACGGACTGCAGAATTCTAGAGAGTAATACAAACTGTGGGAAATGCAGAGACTGGAAACTTAGGCCTTATTGACATGGCTGCCATTCTTGGGTAGATCCTATATTACCCACGACAGGAGGATGATATGAGCTCTACATATAGTGAGGTGGGGAAAGAGGGTGGCATTTATTTCAGGATGGTGTCTTCTGGCAGGAATGGGAGAGAAAAAAATCTTCCATAAGTTCGGTTAACAGATGATGAGTCTTGACTGATTTGGATTACATCTACATAATAGTCATAAAGAGTGATAATAATAGGGTTGAATTATGGCAAGAAGTAGGCATTTGCACCCCCAGCGCCAATAATTCGACCTCAAAATAAATCTGAAACAGACCAGCAACTAGGGGCAGGGCACAAATTTTCCCTGGGTAGAAGATCAGAACTTTTCATGTTGCTTTTCTAGTGAAAACACATGAAGGAGAGAATTCGGGAGAGGAGGGGAGTCAGCCAGCTCAGTGCTTTCCACCTCTGGTTTCAGGGGACCCCGTCTCTCTCGCTACGTGCCCACAGAGGCCGCCTACTGTAACATGTTTTTGTGAAGTCAATTTTCAGTCCTGCAAAGGGAGATTTAAAGTCGCTTCTGATTTATTCGTGTTAACACAAAAAGCAGCAAAGTGAAAGACAAAGGTAGTGTTCCAAAAATCACAGCTGTTTGGCCCTCCCCTCAAAAGAAAAAAGAAATCCTTCCTTGCTAATGAACACGCTGGAGTCTGGTAGACTGCTGTCCCCTTCTGGCTTCTGGGCCCCTTCTCTGTTTCCCCAGGGACTGTAAGGGTTTCTGAAGTCCTCAGAGTCGCATGAGTTTTGCACCCCTATTTCCTGACCAGTTACAAGCTCGGCATCCCACGACCAGAAGGACAATCACACTGGGTGGGCGGGGCGGGAGGAATTGGAGGGTCCTAGGCTGTGGTCCCCTCCCTGTCCCTCCTACACACCCCCAGCCCCGGGGAGTTTCGGTTTCTCGGTCGGTGCCGGGCCGGAGGCAGCCCAGAAGGAAGGGGGACAGCACCAGCTCCCGTTTTCTCAACGCGGAAAGCTGCAGAGCTGCTTTTAGTTCAAGTGACGCTGGAATTCCGCGGAACCGCACGTCGCAGCAGGCACGCCGGCCCTCGGAAAGGCGGCTGGGTCCAGCTGCAGGACCCCGGCCTCAGGATCCTTGCTAAGGATATCCTCTTTATCCTTGCTAAGGATAAAGAGCCTCGCGGTGGCGGTGGGACTTCTCGAGCCCGACAGCTCCTTCCAGCATATGCCCAGAAAACTACATTCCTCGCAGGCGCGGGAGGAGAGCTCGGGGCTCAGTGTCCAGGCCCCGGGACCTGGCCGCGCCCAAGTGGTCCCCCTCCGCCAAGGGCAGGGCTCGCACCCCTCCCCGCTCCAGCCCACCCCTACCCCAACCCCCTCCTCCAGCCTACCCCTCCCCGCTCAACCCCTTCCCCATCCCCTCCTTCACCCCACCCCTCCCCTGTCCCCTCCTCCAGCCTCTCCCCGCGCCAACGCACCCCTCCCCCGCCCCCTCCTCCAGCCTACTCCTCCCCGCCGCAGCCCACCCCTCCCCCCGCCCCCTCCTTTGACCTACCCCCGCCCCAGCACGCCCCTCCAGGGCCAAAGGAACCCGGGCCCAGCTGCGCAAACACCAGGCTGCGGGGCAGCCGAGTGACCCTCGGCCGACGCGGGGGTCGAGGGGTCTGTTTGGTTTGGGAAACCCCCTTTGACACCTGTCAGGCCTGCCTGGAGCTGCAGCTGGGGCTCCAGAGCTTGGTGGGTCCCTTTTCAAAGCAATACAAGTTGGCCCCCAACAGCCGCTGCGAGCCAGCCCTGTCCGCGCGTTTAAACGGCCAAGGTTCCCTTCCACCCCATCGAAAACCCCTCAGGGCCGCGGTGGGCAGTTGGGTGGGGAGAAGTGCACTGCCGAGCCGCCGTCCCCGCCCAGCCTGGCCTCTGCTGCCGCTCCGGAGGCCTCTCCGGTCCGCCCAGCCAGGCCCTCTCTGCAGACAGAGACGAAGTCGGCTGCCTTTGGGGGCTGAAAACACCTCTGGGAGACTTAAGTCTCCTCAGTCTGAAGCCTTTTTTCTGCTTAGACACGGTTCCCGCCAGTGCGGCAAGCAGGGGGCTGCGGGGCCAACCGGCCCTGGTCACCCTGCGCCTCCGCTGTCTGCGAATGAATCCGGGCGGTGAAGAGCTCCAGCCATCTCAGGGTGAACTCCAAGCCCTTTAGCTAAGGATAAAGAGCCTAACTAGGTCCCCTCTAGAATTGTGCCTCAGATTCTTGACCCCACATAAATGCTATTTTAAAAAATCGGAAACTCCCACCCCCAACAGATCAAGAGGGGTTCTCCTAGGGGACTCCCAGGGTGTAGCCCGCGAATTCGGAAGCATCCCTAAGGAGAAGCACCTATGCCCACTCTGGTCCCGCTGTTGCACAGATTCACAAAGTTGGTACTTTTTCTACCTCAGAGGATGTGTTTTCACATGCAAAATGCAAGGCTAAACTCATCGACTCTCTTGGATCAACCACATACTTTCAAGCTCAGTAAGAAACCCTAATTTTACACTGGAGAAAATGGGGTCCCACAGTATGTCTTTATATATTCCTTAGTGGCAGATGTAGGTCCGGAGCCCAGAGGTTCCAGCTCCCAGCTCAGAATTCTTTGAACCATTCAGATAATCATCGTCTCAATTCACTGTTATTACAATGGTCGCTAGACTCCCCATGCCTGTAAATGGTTTCTGCCGCATGAAGAACCTGCCTTTTGTGCCTTCCACTTCACCCAGAAATAGCTTTTTCTAGAGGAGACCTCATCCGCCTGGGAGAGGGCATGTGGGCACCCAGACCCTCGAGCTTCCATGCACCAGACAATGCAGTCCCCTGCAGGGAGAGTGGCACTGGTAGCTCTCACTTCCGAGGCATGCCAGATACAAACCCAGGTGAGGGCTGCAAGCAGAATTCTGCTTAGAAAGAGGGGTCTGCAGGGAACCCAGAATGACCAGCATTATGGTGACATACACTTACAGGTGGGCACTCCTCATCAGACACCCTTCTGTTTTCCCACACCAGGCCCCAAAAATAAAAATGACCTTTTTCCCATGTAGAGGAGAAAGTAGAACTTCTTAGAATAATTCACTTTCTTTTTTAGCTTAAAAAATGCGAAGTCTATGCATTTATATGACTGATAACTTCCTAGGTATTAGGAGACTTGGTTGACATCCAATGTACAAAGATTCTGCTCTTCTCTTTACTAATTTTTTTAAAAATTCTTTTGACTACTATAGCTGAGTTTGCCTCAGTTCTAGAAAGGAGACCAAGAAGAGTCCTTCAGTAATTCTTTCCTGCTTTTAAACAGCACAATATTTCCCTCTTAAATAACAGACTTTATAGTTCTCTAATGAAACCATTAAATTTTTGTAATATTTTAAGAAGATAATTTGTTAATTCTTAATGTTGTCATCAACAAACGGCCCTAATAAGTATCTTCCAAGAGGATCATGATCAAAAACATAAAGATGTAACTCTCCCCAATTCAAGGACCTCTTTCAAATTGGCAAGGATTCCAATGTCATGAAATGCTGGTGCTTGTGCAATAGTTTCCGCACTGTATCTGTTCGACATTATTAAGATGGATGGGTGATTAGAAGCAAATGTTGTTCCTGTCATTTGCCAACTTATACACAGCCTGGAAGAGAGAATTGTATCAACCTTCGTTTTTGGTCAACTGCAGCCAAAGATAAACATGAACATAATACTGTATTTCCCTTACCATTCCTAGACCCTCTTTGTCACTGTTTTCAGGAACAGTTCAACTTTGAAGGCTTGCCATAATTGAACCTTTTTATCATGTCTGTTTGAAACCCAAAATATTATACAATTTAACAGCCTTGACATGTATTTGTTATTTCTGATCACCAATTCCTAGCCATTAAGGAAGTAGAAAAGTTTTGCAACCTTTGGCTGGCTCTACCCACTGTAGTTAAATGTCTGGTCAGGCTCCAAATCACAGAAGGTGCCCATTCAAGAAAGAACTCAGAACGAAGACACTAAGGAGACCCTAGTCTAAATTCCAGCTGTGACTCACACAGCTGGGTGACCTTAAGGAAGCGAGTCATCCCTCCAAGCCTCATAAGAACAAGGGTTGGGCTGGAACATGTCTCGCACACCTCCCTCACAGTGTACATCCATGACAACCCTCATATAATGTCAAAAAATAACATGCCAATGTGGTTTTTTTCTTTTCCCCAAACTCAATCAACTTGAGAGCAAGTGTGAATCTCAGGGACAGTTTCAGGATAGCATTCTTTAACATGATTAAAGTACTCACAAACACAGCAGACGATACTGGATGCCTTAAAGTACGATGGACATATACAACTTGTCATTCTAATGGATCATAACATGTATTTCTAATTACATCTCCCCCAGTGTGCTCCTGACAACTTTCTCACAAAATCCCAGCTCTGAGAATTAGAGAGGCAAGCTTATTTCACAGACAGGAGACAGAAGTTGGGCTATTTTCAAGAGATTTCATCATAAGCAAGGCATTTAGGGCTGCTTTCCTGGGTCCCATGGTGGCTCCCAGGCTGCTGCTCTGGGCTGATAGGATCAGCTCAGTCCTTTGTTTATTTAAGGACAAAGTCCAAAGGCAATTCTCAGGGTAGTGTAGCAGAGTTGATATAACCTAAAAATGTAATAGCCTGGGTGCTTCTAGCACTTTGGGAGGCCAAGGTAGGAAGATGATTTGAGACCAGGAGTTCGACACCAGCCTGGCAACATAGTAAGACATCTTCGCTACAAAAGAATAACAAGAACAACAAAAATTAACAAGGCATGGTACCTTGTGCCTGTAGTCCTAGCTACTCGGGAGGCTGATGTGGGAGGATGGTTTCAGCCTAGCAGTTCAAGGTGCAGCGAGCTATGGTGGTGCTGCTGCACTCCAGTCTGGGTGACAGAGAAAAAACATCTTATCTCTAAAAAAATTAATAGATAAAACAAAAACATAAAACGAACAATGTAATTAGCACCAAGGGGCTCAAGTCATAGGAACAAATGTATATGTGTTCCTACAAATATAACATGAAAATACTAATGTTAAATGTGGAAACACCGAAGGAAGGTAAATGTGGCAACTAGAAACAGCCCTAAAAAGAAAACAACTCAAATAAGAATAAATATTACTATTTAACAAAGTCTATTCCAGCTAATTTCTCAGGCCCATGGAATGTATGAATAATGAAGGTGACACTATCACCCTTGAATCCTTATTTAGGGGATCTGGTATTTTCCTGGGGAAGTCAATGTTTGGAGGAGGCATGCTCTAGTCTCAGCACCCCAACTTCCTCCAGGGGAGCCGTCATCCATGGCATGCAGTATGGGCATTGCCCTTAATTCTCCAGGGCTCTAAGCCTTGAGCAGGGGGACTCAAGGGCCAAACACAAGTCGGACTGATTTGCTCCTGGGGTGTTGGTGAAATGGTCCACCAGCTTCTGCTGTGGACCCCCAGAGCTGCCCCAGTTCCTCTCCATTCTGGGGAAACTGATTCAGTCAAGTCTTTTTTGCTCATTCTTCCAGATCTGTTTCTGTTGTTGGTTACCTCCTCACGCCTGTGCAGTCAGCCAGACACAAGGCGAGGAAGTCAGCATGGTAGGCCTGCTCTTGCCCTCTGTCTTCCATGAAGGCTTTTCCTCCTACTGGGCCTCTTGGCACTCTCATGCCCAGCTAGAGGATGGAGGGACTCAGAAGCCAGGGGGCTGTGAAGCAGGAGCAGCCACTGCAGGCAGCAGCTCTCTCCCCCTCTCTGGGGGACAACACCACGGGCTGCTGGTCCCCAGTACGAATACTCTCTGAAGTCTCCAGCTGCGTGAAAGGTTACCATCTTAGGTCCCATGTACATGACACGCTGAAAAAGGCAGAAGGAACAGAAATTAGATCTGTGATTGCTGGGGGCTATGGTGGGCACAGCTCTAATGGGTACAGGGGACTTTGGGGTGAGGGAAACACTCTACATCCTGATGTGGCTTCAGAACTCCACACACTGGCCAAACTCAGTGTTGTGTACCAAGAAAGTGGAAGTGTTTGCTGTATGCGAATTATGCCCTGAGAGCCCTGACTCCACAAACGTATTCTCATAGAGAGTGACAGCTAATACTTGCTGAGTTTCCTAACCAGGACACCTTCCCAATAACAGTGTTAAGTTAAAAGAGACACAGCTTTATTTGCAGCATTTCAGCTAACTGGAGCTAGCTAGCAGGGCATGTTTTCAGAGGGAAGCTTAACTTCTCACTACCTCTTAAGCCAGCAGCCCCTTTCCACTCTGGACAAAGGTCCCCACAGCCCTGGTGCCCGCTGCACTTCAATATGGGCACCAACATCTAAAAGTGAAACCATGCCAGCATGAAGCCTGCCTCCACCTTCCCCACATTCAGACACACTGTCTTCTTCAGCGGGTACATAGGCTGAGGAAGCACAGGGGGACTCAGAGCCAAAAGCCCATGTGGAAGAGAATGTGGTATTTCTGCAGACTCGCATGCTTCCGGAAGTGTGGATTTGTTCACAGGGTAGTTCCTGGGGGATGCTGCCAACTTTTAAGGCCTGGATGAGAACCCTGCAAGGGAAATTCCCCAGAGGGGGCCGAGATTGAACACCCACAGGACTTCGTGGCCCCACCCAAACCATCCAACACACTCACCTTCCCTGTGCCGGGTTTCAGAAAGCAGCTCCAATATGAAAGAGATCAAGCGCGTGCACATCCCTCTGCTCCCTGACCCCTCACTGCATGGATTCCATAACCACACATGTAAGAATGCCGGGGAGATGTTGTGCAAACCAGGCACTTTTGACCCCTTGAGGCAGTTACACACAGTCAGCAATCTGAAATAAGATAATTATTAGTTCTCCTATTTATTAGCCGAGCCCTTTTGAGTAATAGCCTCTGGGGACATTTATAAATGCAATAAAAGACCTGGTTAAGTACAAAATGATGTGGCTCATTCTAGATTTTTGCTGAAACAAACCCTCAAGCCCAAGTAGTTCTTCTCCCTGGAGTTGAGAAAGGCAAAGACTTCAACGAGCACCTTCTCCACACCGGTGTGACTCCAGCATCTACTTTAGACATATTTGTCGAGCTCATTCAGGGGGTTGAAATCAGTAGGCTACATCAGCCAATCTGAATCCAGCAAAAATGAATCTGAGCCCATGTTTTCCAAAATGCAACCTCACGATGAGGTGTGACTGAAAAGAGACGTCTGGCAGCCCAAATCCCCTCTTCCAGTTGTGTCCATGAGCAAAGTTGAAGTGTTTCAGCCAAAAGATTGGGGCCTAGAACAAATCTTGCCCAATAAGGCTCTTTCGTGAGTCACAGGAAATTAAAACTACCGTATCTTTTAGTCACAGTTGATTCAATAGAATCAAGACCCAGCCCACAAGCCAGCCCAATGGCTGGCTGTTTACACAGAGTGATTCAGAAGGAAGCCCAAATTCTCTGCCCGATAAGATCTCTCTCCACACACTTCTGTTTGCCTCACCAATCCCAAACCCCCACCCCAGCTCACTCTGCTGCCTGAAATATCACCCTCTGAGTCATTCTGTTGAGTTACATAATAAAAATGGGGAATAAGTTCTACAAAAAGGGAAAAATTGGGGGAAGGGGGACTGGGGAGGGAGACGGAGGGAATTATTGATCCAGGACAAACACAATGTTCCCTTCTTCATACCTCTGTTAATTGCAAGGTCCAAGTGGTCCAGTTTGTAAGCCTTGGAGGACTCAGTCTGTGTACTGAACACATCTGTCCACAGGCAAACACGAATGGCAGTCTGCAAAAGGAAAACCCTGCTGTCAATCTTAGCATTTGATTTTCTGCCCCTCACTAGCAGAGGTGTTAGGCGTGAGTGAAACAATCCATGAAACTCGTGGTGACCAGAGGTAAATTCAATTAATATAGCAAATGTGATGCTATACCACCCAGAGGTCACAATCAGTTTTCCCTTCTGGGGGTCCCTCTTCCTTTGTCCCAGGATGTGAATCAATGCCAGTGTGTTCAGATACTCCAAGACTTACAGTGCAGTCACAACCCAATAAACCCATCACAAAGTTGACAAATTGTAAGTTGCATCATCATAAGTCGGGGACCATCTGTACTTAAATGTGCTTTTAAATTCCTTTCACAGATCATTTTCCTGCTGCCTATAGCTTTTTACCTAAAGTTATAAAGCAAACCCACGTTTAATAAAACATGCAATCTATGTTTAGAATCCAGGCTCCAGGGGCACAGGAGTGATGCAGGGCAAACTGGATTGCAGTGAGTCGGGGAAGAGGCCCCCTAACCCCCCCACCCCCATGCACATCCCTCTAGCCGGCTCCTGGGTCAGCCAGTGCGCTGAGGTCCAAGCTCCTCACTCCCTCCCCTCACTTCCTCTCTCTGCCCTTCTGGAGAAGGAAAACACAGTTAGTGTTAAGCATGCCCAGTAGCCAAAGCCAGGCTTTAGCTCTAAGTCACAAGGAATCTAAAGGATAAACAGGATCCATGTCCTCGAACATATCAGCTCCATTCTCTGTTCTCTGCCAGACCCAGGAAGCAAACTGGTTCAAACAGGCAGCTTCCCTGATGTGTCTTGCTGGAGAAGCCTTGACTCTTGCACCTCTGGCTATGGTTCACACTGCCATCCTCGAGGAGGCTTCAGGAATGCCTACTTAGGAGCCCCAAGCTCTCTCAGCTATGTCAGAATGGCAATAACAAGTGCATGTCACTCGTTTCCTCAAGGGGAACTCTATCAGACTTTACCACATCTTCCCTGGAGAAAAGGGTTCTCCCTGGCTCGCTGGCGGGCAGTCAGCCATGCAGTTATCTACAGAGAGGCAAGAAAGGCAGTCAGGGTCACGCACCATGAAACCCAACAGCAGGGCAGCAAAGCCACAGAATCAAATCTTCAAAGTAAGGAGCAAGAGGCGCAGGGGCAGCCCTGGCTCAGGGAAAAGACAAATGGCAGTCTGCAAAAAGAAAACCAATCCTGCTGCTGTTCTTAGCATTTTATTTATATATTTAAGACGGGGAGTTTCGCTCTGTCACCCAGGCTGGAGTGCAGTGGCAGGATCTCAGCTCACTGCCATCTCCACCTCCATGGGTCAAGCAGTTCCCATGCCTCAGCTTCCCACCTCACTAGCAGAGGTGTCAGGTATGAATGAAACAATCCATGACCCTTGTGGTGGCCAGCAGTGTCATAAAAAAATTGCTAAGAGAGGAGATCTTAAATGTTCTCCCCACAAAAAAATGAAATTAATACAGCCAATCTTATTTTAGGGCAGCCGAGCTTCCTGGCCCTGAAGCGGAGATCAAGCCAGGCTGCACCCTCAGCTGTCAAAGGACTCGCTACCGTGGCATGCAGGGGGACCTATCTGCTCAACCCTGTCTTAGTAAAAGAGTTAGAGCACAAGTTAACTTGGTAGTGCCAGAAATACCAGCAGGGGAGGAGGGAAGTGAGCTGGTAAACAGAAAGCAGTAGATATGGGTGAGGTGTCCAGCCAGCTACTGCTGGGAGTGGCTAGTGCTGAAGGCCATGAAGACACTCTGGGGATGGTATGATACACCTGCCTGGGAATGACCCCACCAGAGATAGAGAGACAAGGGGATGCTTCATTGAGAGATCCTGGGGTTGGTGGGGTCATGTCTCCACTGCCATGCATTGAGCTGAGCACTTCCTATGCCTTTAGAGAGAACTTTCTAGCAGATATGGCAGCTGAAAGCATTTAATACCCACCCCCCTGAAGTTCAGCCCTGCAGGCTCTCTGCACCCAAACCAGGCCCTTTCAGTTAAGACTGGAATCCTGCAGTAGGAACACTGATCAGGAGATGGTCTCTGGCTTGTAGCATTTGCTGAATTCCATGGTGAAAATGTACTCACAATGGCCCATCTCAAACCATTAGCAACCAAACACTGGATGGGACATTCTTGCACATGCAACCCCTGGCTGCTGTGCTGTGAGCTAGTGGGAGCCTGTTCCAGCCCACCACAGAGGCTGAGATGGGGATCCCCATGCCTCAAGGCTCAGCTGTTGAGTCACTGGCCTTTGCCTGGGGACAGGGGCCTTTGGTCCCAGGGAGCCTACCATGGGATCTTTAATCCAGTAATGGCTCTTATGTCTAGAGCTGACTTCCAAAGTTAAAGACTCCAGAGTTAAGAGACTATGTAGTTCAGTGATTAAGAGCATGGACTCTGAAGTCAGCCTGCCCACATTTGAATCCCAGCCCTATCATGTGTCATCTGTTGTAACCTTGAGTAGGTAACCTCTCTGTGCCTCAGTTTCTTCTCCCATAAAATGGGGATAATAATAGTAATCACCTCACAGCATTCTTGTAAAGGTTAAATGAGTGATTACATGCAAAGTTCTTGGAACGGTGCCTGACACATAGTAAGCAGTACTTAAATTTAGCTGTTATTATTTAGGGATGGAAATGAACAGTTGATAAGCCTGACCTCTAAGAGCATGATAAAGTTGTCGGGTTCATCCTAAAGGCTCTGCATTTCTATCACCTAAAGTTACACCTAGAATTAATTCTGGGAGAGAGAGGAAGGTTAGAGTGAGATAGAGAGAGATTAATAGTCTCCTTTATGAAAGGAACTTTTTAATGCCACAATAAATGAAGCAGGGATCATGGAAGGGCAGGTCTCCCATCTTTGAGGGCCTGTAAAGCACCAGGCTCAGGTTAGAGTGATTTGTTCTTTATTTTACATATGATTATATACAAAGTGATGATTTGATATGAATGCATTATGGAGTGTTTAAATCAAACTAATGAGCATACCCATCGCCATATACTTATTGTTTGTTTTCAGTGAGAACATTTAAGATCTCTCTTGGCAATGTTCAAGCACACAGTACATTATTATTTACTATTGTCATCATGCTTTATAATAGATCTCCAGTACATATTTCGCCTGAAACTTTGCATCTTTTGACCAAGATCTCTCCAACACCTCCACACACAGCCTTTGTTAACCACCATCTAGTCTCTGTTTCTATGAGTTCAACTTTTTTAGATGCCACCTATAAGTGAAATCAGGCAGTATTTGTCTCTCTGTGCCTGGCTTATTTCACTCAGCCAAATGTTCTCCAAGTTCATCCACATTGTTGCAAATGACAGGATTCCCTTCTCTTTATGGCTGAATAGTATTACATTGTGTATTTATACCATTACACTTTCCTTTCTCCATTCATCCACTGATGGACACTTAGGTTGAGTCCCCATCTGACCTGTTGTAAATGGTGCTGCAGTGAACATAGGGGTGCAGAGATCTCTTCAACATACCGATTTCATTTTCTTTGAATATACACCCGCTGGATCCTATGGTACTTCTAGTTTGAATTTTTTGAGGAACTTCTATACTGTTCTCCATACTGGTTGTACTAATTTGCATTTCCACCAACAGTGTACAACGGTTCCCTTTTCTCCATATCCTCATCAGCATTTATCTTTTGTGTTTTTGATAATAGCCATTCTAACAGGTGTGAGATGATATCTCATTACAGTTTTAATTTGCATTTCCCTGATGATTAGTAATGTTGAGCATTTTTTCACATACTTGTTGGCCATTTGTAGGTCTCCTTAGAAATGTCTATTCACGTCCTTTGCCCATTTTTAAATTGGGTTATTTGATTTCTTGTTATTGAGTCATTGAGTTCCTTATGTATTTAGAAATGTCTATTCGCGTCCTTTGCCCATTTTTAAATTGGGTTATTTGATTTCTTGTTATTGAGTCATTGAGTTCCTTATGTATTTCAACAATGGATGTCATACTTTACTTTTGTATCTATGGCTTTTTGGCTTCTCAAATGCTTTCAATACAATAAAGAGATTCTAGATGGATTATATGAGTAGGCAATCCAAGGGTAAGATGAAATTCTTCCATGGACCTTAGTGCAGTTGTCAAGTTTTGTGGACACCTCAGTACCTGCCAGGCACCATAGCACTAGAGAAAAAGCCAAGGTGCAATATAGTTCCTGCCCTTTGGCTTTCCCTGTAAACATGGAGGTGAGTCCCAAATGCCATGTGGGCACATACGAGGTGTGTTGCTCTCAGGCTGCCGGGATTGAAGAAGCTTCCTGGAAGCAGTGGTCTCACACTGAAACCTGAACGATGAATAAGCTGCAGTTAAAGAGCTAAGGAGTAGAAAGGAAGCTTTTCGGATGGAAGGAGCAGCATGTGCACCGGCATGGACCTGGGGGAAGCACAGAGCATTCAGCGAAGGGCAAATCGTCTGCATACATGCACTGCAGAACCTGTGGTGTGTAGGAAAGGAGGCCAGGGAGTGAGGTAGACATGAATCAGATCACGAGGACCTCAGTCTGCATTCTGAAGATAGTGGGGAATAGCCAAAATGCTTTTAGCAAAAGACTGACGTCATCCTCTACAAAGATAATTCTAGCTGCTCTAAGAAAAACAGAATGGAGGGGACATGACCAGCAGCAACACTAGAGGCTGTTGCAACCATCCAAGTGAGGCAAGAGCACTGAATCAGCATGCCATGGTAGGGATGGAGAGTGGGCAGGGTCCCTGCAGGCTGGGAGATGGCTGAAGGCAGAGCTCAGGAAGAAGACACTGGATGGGCAGTGAGGCCATCTGGGCATCCAGGGGACCAAGGGGGGCCGGCTTTGCATTGTGTGTGTGTGTGTGTTTGTGTGTGTGTGTGCACGCACGTGTGTGCATGCATGCAGTCAGGCTCTTCATGCAATGCACATATAAATGGGATGCCATTCATGTCACAGTCATAAAAACTTTGTATATCAGTGACAATAATTTTTCACTAATGAAAAGAAGATATTTTTTTAAAAGTGTGCATTTTTCTGACTTACCCAGAAGCACGCCATAGGCACTCTCCTTGGCCCACAGTGCAGAGTTGGGCTCTGGACACACTGAGTTTGAGTCGCCAACAGGACATCTAAGGAGGGCTGTCAGGGAAGCAGGTGCATACACTTGTCTAGAGTTCAGGAACCATCTGGGCTGGAGAAGTAGACAGAAAACATCAGCACAGAGATGGTTTTTACAGCCCTGGAAATAAACAATGGAACACGAGTTGGAACACTACTGAGGGGCAGGGATGGAGGCTCCTGAGACCCTCAGACGGGTGGTTTCCATAGCAACAACTAGACTGCAGAACTGATGGAGGGGGTGGCAGGAGAACGTGTGGTTGGTTTGGATTCCTTAAGCCAATGTGAAATTAAACTTCCACTGGAAATGGTCCTGCTTCTCATTGCATCTGGGCCTATCTTTGGGGCAAAGGACAGACAGTATGAAATCATGGAAAGGACACAGAGTTTGAAGTCAAATGATCTTAAATTAGATCCCAACTATGCACTCAATAGTTGTACAATCTTATACCAGGTAATTCATCTGTTTGAGCCTCTGTTTCTTCATCTGTAGAGTAAATACAATGGACCTCCGCTTGCAGGCCTTGTAAGACATGAGGATGAAATTCTAATATATATATATATATATGTTTTTAATTTCATTATTTTCTTTTACACACACACACACACACACACACACACACACACTCTGCATACCCATTACTATTTATTGAGTATGGTAAATGTATAGTATATAATACAGAGTGAATACTCAACAAACGGTTAACAGTATTAGTAATAGTACAAGTGTACCTTAACCTTTAATGAGGAAGTCAAATCCTCATCAATCACCTATAATTATTATACAAATTATAGTTTACCATGAGGTAGACACTTGGGGAAAAGATGCCTTCAGTAACTTTTAACTAAATTACCTGGAATTTGATCTACAGGATTATACTATTTTTGCTGCAAATCAAAGTCATGTAGGTCTTTGCCAACATGCATATCATATAATTCATGCCAAGAAATACAAACTTCTGATTAGTGCAATTAACTTGTTTGGTCTTTAAAGAGAAAACACCCCACACATTTAGAAACTATAGGAGGAACACTAAAAACCTGGGCTATATATTGAATGAAATGTCTTGACTCTCCCATAAAACTTTTCATCTGTTAAACCAAAAAAAATACACTGCAAAATTATTGAAATGAAACTAACAAAAAAGTTTTTAATTTTCTTATTTTCTTTTCAAAGCATAACTAGATGGAAAAAGATAAAGATAATTCATCTGCTCAATTGTTTTTTCAGCTCAGTGATTCTGTCTTTTATGTTCACGTTGTCAAAACAGAAATAGGTCCCATTAGCTCTAAGGTTTGTGCACATAAGCGATTAATCCCATTTTAAGTTTGTGTGTCTCCCTTTCCCTAGAAGCCCTCAATTTTCCATTTTTCAAGAAGACAGTGATCTTCTTGATATTTTCCTTACACTCTTTGAGACATCCTTCAAAGGTTAGCCAGAATAAGAGCAAAATATTCTTTTTTTTTTTTTTAAGACGGAGTCTCACTCTGTTGCCCAGGCTGGAGTGCAGTGGCGCAAGCTCAGCTCACTGCAACCTCCGCATCCCAGGTTCAAGCACTTCTCCTGCCTCAGCCTCCTGGGTAGCTGAAATTACAGGCATGCGCAACTGTGCCTGGCTAATTTTTGTATTTTTAGTAGAGGTAGGGTTTCACCACGTTGGCCAAGCTGGTCTCGAACTCCTGACCTCGTGATCCGCCTGCCTTGGCCTCCCAAAGTGCTGGGATTACAGGCATAAGCCATCACATCTGGCCCAAGATCAGAATATTCTATCCAAGAAGAAGAGTAAGCTTCTGCCAGATCTTACAAAAAGCACAGATCCTTCTAACTTCCCAGGAGCCACCAAACCTTCCCTCTGCAGCCCAACACTGGAGCAGCAGGTTGATTTGCAAAACCACGTGGAGCCAACAAAATCTTCTCAAACCCAGTCCCCACCTCACTCCATTCACCAGAACACATTCTAAAACAGCAAAGATTTCCATGTGTAAAGCAAGCCCACAAGAGCTCTGGGGGAAAGCGCAGAAGAGTCCTAAGCCTTTTTTGCGTGTGTAAGCAGGGCTCATCTGTGCATGGCACAAACCCCAAATGCTTTTTAAGGGAAAGTGGGTAACTTTGAGTCCTTAAATAATGTAAACTTCTATTTGTTTAAACAGCAGACAAATGAGAAACATATTTGTGGCCTATCTGACGAATAAAAGTAATGATAAAGCTTTTAAAGTCAATTTTTAAGACTAAAAAAAGTAATAAAAATAAACAGTAGTCAAAGCCAGATTCCACAAAACAATGCAAATAGGCCTTAAACAGGTGAAAAAGTATTCAGTTTTCCATACTTGAAACATGAATTACAGCAATAATTATTTGCCATTTATTGCCTATTGGCAAAGATTTAAGCATTTCATAGTGCATGGAGTTGGTGCAGTTTTGAGGAAATAGGCAGTCCATATAATGTTGATAGGGTTGTAAATAGGTACAACTTTTTTGCAGGGCAATTTGGCAATATCTATTAAAATGTAAAATTTACATACCCTTTGACCCAGCAATTTCACTGCTAGGAACTCAGCCTAAGGGTGTGTTCTCTCATCTGTGCAAAAAGTACAAGTGTACCAGGACACGTATTGCTGTATTGTTTCTAATCTCCCTAAATGTGAGGAAAATAACTTGTTAATATCAATTTAAGAAGCTGGTTAAATTCGTTAGGATACAAACCACACAATGGACTACTAAGCATGGGTGGACCCTTAAGCTCTTGTGGAAAGGTCCTGAGATCTGCTGTTGAGTGTATCTTTGGTGAAGCATTTTATCTTTCACCTTACATTCCTTTATTCTACTTGGAAGAAGTCATTGTCATCATTAATGTGAATTACTTTATTGTTAAAACAAACATAGTTTACTAAAAGGGGAAGAAGACAAAAGGGAAAAAGGAGGAGAAAACAAAAGAGGGAAGGAAATCATAAAGGCTTAAAGGAGGGAGGAGGGAAGGAGGAAGGAATGGAAAGAGAGAAGAAACCTCCTCATTCTTTTGAGTAGAAGGCTGAGAAGGCTGTTACCTGTTTCAATGGAAAAAGCTAGCAGCACATTTTAAAGCTTTAGTAATTTTACTCAACTTCACAAACACCAACTTGTTGCTTCTTTTCTAAATGAAAACAAGGAAGTACTGTAAGGTTGGCTTCGTCCACACTTTTTCTTAGGCTATGCAAACCACCCTGGGTAAAGTCCTCACTGCTTGTAAGCCAAGGGTGACTCCAGGGAGCCAGACGGCATTTCCTCCCATAATACACAAATTTGTATTTTGCCTGATGTTTTTGTCTCTGAGCCCAGATCCCACAGTGATAGGCGCCACAAAAGTACACAGATAGACAGAGGACGCGCCCTGATTTTGCAGAGGAGACAAACTTGGAGGTCAAGAGGCTGCCTTTCTAAAGGCCGCAGATTCGGACTGGGAGCTTCAGCAGTCTGAGCAGATTACAGCATCAGGCTTTGTCGCTAGCGCATGCAAGACTTTTAACAGAGAGCAATCTTTCTTTCTTCCCCTTAAGATTCTGGTAGCTGACCAGAAGCTACATGAATCTTTTTTTCACTTGCTTTTTAAGGTTAAAATAATACAGGAGGTCTCTTTTGTAAGATACTGAGTACTGCAAAGACTTTTTTTAAAGAACTGGTTTTTTAAAATCGAGAGGCTTTAACAGGGCTTGTCTGTTTTAAACTCCTTTTCTATGGTAAAAGAGGAAAGTTTAGACCTACCACAGGGCCAAGGTTTGCAGAAAGACAAAACTGTTCTGGAAGCAAATGGGACTCACTCCTTCGCCTCCTTCCCTTGCCCTCCCTTTCCTCTCCCCTTACCCTGCGCTGAACTCTGCAACCATTACTGAAGCTTACAAAATATTCTGCTACTACTCGACAGTTTAAAAATTAACAAGCATGTAAAGCTACTGGGGGTAAAAGCCTGGAGCCTGTGGCAAGAAGCAAGCCCTGGCTGGATTCTGCAATTATTTCTTACGCAACTCCAGGTCACAGTCACAGCTTTCTGAAGATTATACACTTCCAGCAGCTCAGCTTGGCTGGGGCAGGAGAGCCTGGCTCCACCAGAGTCGCATAGGCCTCTCATAGCATCATAATTAGTCATTAAACAGCAGAACCAAGGGCCTTTCAGACCCAGGTAGCACTACTGTATTCCTTTGCTTTCAGGAAAGGAGACATTCCTTGCACATTCTCCCCTGGAAGGGTGTGAATGGGGTTGGGAAGGGAAGGCCGAGATGTGGAGAGAGAGGGGTGGACTGAGAGTCAGCTGCAGAAGACAGGCTTCACGGGGATTTTCTGTCCCTGCTGCTGGGTTTCTTGTTGTTTTTGTTGCTGTATGAACTCCACCAGGCCAGCACGCTCTGACTGCCGCCCCGCCCCGCGGCTGATCAATGGAAAGGGACCCCCTGGAGGGCCTCTGTGACTACCAGGTTTCCAGCCCTATCCCAGGCTTTTCCTTATTACCAAGATTGCTGTCCTCACATTCACACCTTGTAGACTTTTATCAGAATTGTGCAAAATCAGAGTTCTAAATTACTGAAGCCCTAGATACTTTTAATGAAATGTATATCCAGAACCTGAATCTTCAGGGTAAAGAATTAGCCTTAGATTTATCCACAGCTAGCCCACGGATTATGCAGATGAAGAAACTGAGGCCAGAAAACCCAGCGGTGAGCTTTTTAACCAACATAGTGAGGGCCTCGTGAAGGCATTTGGCTTGCTTGACTTTATTCTTGGAGCTCAGAGCTAACCTCCCACATTTCCTTTGTCTGCTCTAGGAATTCAGTGTCTACCTGAAACCTCCACCCAACCTGTTTGTACACTCGGAAAACCCAACCTGGTGCATGGGCTGGGTGATAATCATGGCAACACTGCAGCCTGCAGGTAAGTGTGAAGATAACAGCAAGACACCTGGAAGGTGCTCCCTGCTGGCATGGGGCGCACACAGCCTCAACCCCTAAGACACAGCTGTGCCCAAGAGCGGAGGGATGTCAACCAAGAGTCACACCTTCAGTGTGGGCTGAAATGAATGAGCTAAAGAAGTGGTTTGTTATTCA